CCCCAAAACCCCAAAACCCCTTGATGAAAAATAGAGATTAAAAACATAAATTATTGTAAGGATTAATGAATTAAGAGAGGATTTAAGAGAAATTAATTTAATTAGTTAGAATCAAACAATCCTTGGTAACTTAAATTTGCTTATTAATAAATAGTTACTTGGCATTTGTTCATTTGTTATAGTTCTTACTTCTAGCTATCTCTCTTCTGGGTGATAATCAGTGATTTACATGAGGCCAGCTGTAGAACTTTTCATTAAGAGATCTCTAAACTCTTCTTTCAAATTGTTGTTTGATGGATAAAGTGCCATTTCTCTTTCAAGTTGCCTTAGTTTTTAGACATCTTGAGGTACAAGCAGTGCAAGAATTCTGTGCTTTAGATTTGCAAAATCTGCTGACTGGACCTTAACTTCTTCAAGCAAAGTTGACCATCTTGGTGAAGTAGCTCCTGCTGGCAATGCCGTAATTGGTATTTCCTTTCCTTCTACTTAAAAGAACTTGTACTCTTCAAGTGAAAGTTTCATATCTATACATATTAATGAATAAAAGTAGAATAAAATTACCTTGAGGATCATATTCGTTTCTAGACATTAAAGCTTCTGGCCCAAGTTCACTAAGTCTGTTCTAATCTCGTCTTGAAAATGAGGCATAATATTTACCTCTAAAATACTCCTGATACTTCTCAAAAATAACTCTATCTTCAAACTTCATAGACTAAACACCTCCAGATTTCTAAAGAGGAATGATGTTAGTTAATAAAGGTTTGTTTTATCGTGTAGCATCTCTAGCAAGAGCATTTCTAATCTCATTTTCCAATCTCTCATTATCAACTACTAGTACTGTTCCAACATTAAAAGCTTTAATAGCCTCTATTAAAGTTTCAGTATCTCTTTTATCTTAAGGAGTGTAGCCATTTATTATACAGCCTGAAGCAAAAAGTTCAGGGTAAGGAGGACTCACTAATTTTTACAATTCTTTCAATTCACTTATCTATTTTTAAGAATCAGTCTAAGAATCTTCGATTTTCTCGTCAAGTTCATTTCCAGTAGTTTCTAGTTGATGATCTGCTTTAAATTGCATTAAATCACTATTCAACTTGTTATGAACTGCATTGGCTAATTCTTTAATTTGTCTGTCGAAAAATTCCTAAGTTATAGCTTAAGGGCAACTGCCTTGGAAGAATGATACTGCTTACTGAATCAATTCATCATTTGGTAGTGGCTCTTCAACCATAGTACACGAGATAGAACCAGGAGGGGTTATTTCATTATTGGCTAAATCTAAATCAACAAATAATGGTGTCCAACCAAGCTTCAAAGAGTAGTTAATTAATATTCTGCAAAGTGTTGATTTCCCTGATTGGTTTGATCCAGTTACCAATAGACTAGGTCCAAGTTATAAATTCTTTAAAGCATTTTGTCTGAGCTGGTTCAAAGCTGAATGGCAATTCACATATTGGTACATTGGTGTTAGACTACTTTAATAGCAATCGCATTTTCCACTAACTTAAACTTTTGCGCTATGCCAACTAAATATTGCCAGCTTTTCTCCTTAATGGAAGAAAACTGGTTCTTCTAGTGGTAACTCCTTTCCAAATACTTCGGCTCTTCCTTCTAGAAGCATGACCTTAATATGATCTTCTATACTATATATTCTTAGTTCAAAACCACCCTGAAGGACCTCTGTTTTTGAAGGCTCAGGCATCAAAACTGGTCGAGGACTTATAACTTTATCCATTATTTAAAAATATTAATATTACTTATTCTATTAATTTTAGAATATTTATAATTGAGGGGTTTTGGGGTTTTGGGG